CACTACCCTCAGAAACGCCAATGTAAATAAACGATTTTTGATTTCTTGATCGCCACTTGGGACGGCAAAAACGAAATTTACGGCTATCTGTGGGACGGAATTACTCCATCGCAATTCCAAAGGTGCCAAAAGTTTTTAGGAAAAATAATTTTTTTTATTGAGTTTAATGCGTCGACAACTAATGGTCATTGGCATATTACTGTGAATTTTTACAGTCAGGTGTATAGTGTGTGTGTGTGTGTAGAGTAATTGTCTTGATACTTAGCAAAGTCGACGTCATTGTCTTTGTTAAGAGACGCTAATTGTAACCGCAGAATAATGTTTTAAAATATCGGTTTTTATTTTATAATTTTAAATATGTAACGAAACGGAAGATTAAATAAAATTTATTTCCTTACAATTTTGTGCTTAATTTTTACTATTGGAAATATCATGTTTTTTGGTATTTTTATGATGGTAATAAATCGCTACGTGGAAGAATACAGGTTTTGTATAACCATAATTAATTGGCTCCACGGTACGACAACTACTGTTCAAGTCTTCTATGGAGAAGCACAAATAAATATACTACTTATATATTCTTTATAGAAAACGGGTAGTTTTCGAGGGCCGCTGTGTACATTTAAATTTGAGGATATTCGGCGTTTAAACGATAAATCACTCTTCCAAATGGTGGAATTAGAGTTTAGTTATACTCGGTTCCCTAATCCCAGTCCGAACTGTCTAGTGAATTTAGTAATTATTTTTTTGCGAAGTCAGTTACTTTTGACAGACTGGAAGTGGCTGGAAATTACTATACAACCAAGCACACGTGCTTATAGCTTATTTCATTAGAGTATTTCGTCGACCTTTTTTTCAAACTTATATCACAGAATAAGAAACAATCAGAATGCCTGCTCTCCTTGACTGCTTTCCTTGAAAACATAAGTACACTCATCTTGTTCGCGCAGACGTTCAGCCATGTTTTAAACGGAACCAGCGCTGTTCAGTGAAAATTTATCTGGCGTGTGTTAGCACAGAATAAGATTCTCAGCCTAGAAGATTTTGTTACATTTTATTTTCAAGCCTTTTTAATATTCCTGTGGTATTACTTTGTTCACTATTTGTCATGTGTTATAAATAAATAATAAAAATGTAAATATATATATATATATATATATATATATATATATATAAATATATATATATATATATAAATATATATATATATATATATATATATATTTATATATATATAAATATATATATATATATATATATACTTCATCTAATTTACTTACCGTTGCACATCATCCGCGTCATAGCTCGTGAGGTCACATGATACCAACACGAAATATTTAGGTGGTAGGTGTGTTCTTTTTAAGAATCACTTTGCCGAGTACACTGTCATTACAGTAACTAGACATATATTATTATATATTATAAATTAAAAAAATTATTATAAATAATATTTAAAGATTTCTGTTAATGTTTACTTAAAGAAAGAAATGCACAATAATATGTTTCATTTAATTTGTATAAATGCATTATAAAGCGTTTTTATGAAAAACGTTTGTTCGGAACACACTGTAACTGTAATCGAACGAAGGTGATAGTTTGGCATAAATTGGTAACACTTATTTGACAGTTGCGGTGTTGACACTTTTTCTACTTTATTATTTTGAATTTTAAAGTGAATACCTCTTGGTTTATATTTTTACCTATTTATAAAATCTGTTCTTTTTAGAACAAAATTAGTGTGTTTTATTTTAAATATGTCATGTAAGAATTTAAATAGTCGTTGTAAAGAGATGATAATACTTTTGCAATAATTATGTGATCGATTTGATTTAAAATGGAGTCAGGATTTTTTTATTCTTTGGCAACTATGTCAACTTCGATCTCTGACATAGATAATGACGTGCATCGGTATGTGAATTAGATGAAGTATATATAAGATGGGCAAGCCATACATGGTATGTGCAGCAAAAAATTGCAATGACAAAGCCTATAATTGCGATGTGTCTTTTTCTGGATATTATACAGATGGTAGTTTGTTAAAAAACTTTAAATTGGATTATCAAATGAGTATTGGATTGAAGCTTACTAAATGCAAAAAAGTTTTTTCTTGTCTTAGTGAGAGGTAGATAGCTTATTGAACTAGATGGAGTACAGGAATCCATAATTTCTTGCTAAAACAAAACTTGGATAATTAAATATGGTGTTCTAACGAACGGATTTTTAAAACAATTAAAATGAAAAAGTTTTAGATTAAAATAATTTATGTAAACTTGCAGTTGGAATAAAACCGTCGCCAAGCAGAGACAAACATTTTTGTATGTGCTTGGTGTTAAATAAAACCGCCAATAAACAATTACATAACCTCACAAATCATATATCGATAAAGACCAATTACACCAAATGTGATTTTCAATCCGAGTCTGTGTTCTGTGTTTTCGTCTAAAACATGGCGATCGCGGGCTAAAAAACTTCATAGGCGGCATCTAAGAGTGGGCATTTTGATTGTTTTTATTCTGTGCCTATACTAATATTCTATTATTCCTATCAGAAACTAGTTTTGGACTACCCGGGATTTTACTTTTTTTATCTAACGAACTTTGTTATGTGGATTATATAACACAATATTGAGTACGTTTTGTGATTATAAATCATTTAAAATATTGCTCATTCAGTGTTATTATCATCACTTTAAAAAAAAAAATAAAATCACCTAGATAATACTAAAATTTATTCGTTTGTTGAAACTATTTTCAAGAAACTCAAGTTAAATGCTACCAAAAACTTGGTTGTTTACATTTGGCGCAACTTAACGATATAAACTAAATTAGCCTAACTTTTATATAAAATATATTTATATATTTGACACTAACTAATCTAACAAAAGAATTAAACAAAAATAATAAAACTATATTAAATAAAATAAACAATGCGAATAATACAAATATTTCCTGTACTATGTTAAACTGTAACAACTCAAATATATTTTAAATATACAGCAAGAATTTTATGGGTTTAGTATACACTTTTTTTTTAAAGGAAAAAGTCTGAAATAGTAGTATATTTGAGCTATTAATACTAAGAAGTAGGAATTTTTGTGTTGTGGGTTTCCAACCATGAATCTGTCAAAATATGACCGAGCTAAGCGAATGGATCTTAAATTATCTGGACCAACCTGGTAACTTAGATCATTTTTCAAAAAACCTTAAAAACCAATCTGGCCCACATTTTGCGTACAATTCGACATAAAATAATTCCTCAAGTTTAATAAAATAATAAAAGTTCCTCAAGTTTAGATAAATTTAAATAAATAATAAATAATAAAAAGTGTATGATCAATATTCGAAAACAACGATTTTATTATTTATTTGTAATAACCTTTTTCTTTATTAATTGATTTCATTTTAATATTTTTCAACAGATTTTAACAGTTTTTAATTTATGAGCACAATAATGAGTTTGACGTTTTCATTGTTTATTTAAAAATAGTTACTAAATTATTAAAAAAGTCCTAGATGAGAGTCCTTTTGTAGTTTCTCATACTTAACATATCAACTGTGTCTATAGACTTGTGTCGAGTAAAAAACTAACTGTTTTTATTTGTTTAAAATACAATCTGTTACATACAAACAAGTAACACTAAGCATTTTTGTTGAACTTAATATGTAAGCAAGAGTTTTAGTCCAATGGCTATTAACTACTAGAAAGTTTATTACTAATAACTAAAACTAAGTCTAGACACGTAGATTCTAAATGGTTAGTCAAGAGGAGTTCTAATGTTTAATCTCTATATTGTTCTGAAGCTATTTGCTTGTTAATTAAAGGTTAAAGCACGTTTATTGACGTTTCAATTTCCAATTCGGAAATCGTTTTTAAAATACAAACGTACTTTAACCTTTAATTGTGGCTTATTCCTATTTAAATAGTAATTAGTTTATTCTATAGTTGTGTGGAGTTGTCAAATAAATTTACTGCTAACTCGTTGGAGTGTTTTTTCCATCGTTTGTTTCACTGTTTCGATCTACAAGTGCCTTTAAATATCTGCATTTGGAATGTACTACGGCGCATCAGTGATAGCAGGAAGAACCTTATATTGAAATCGGTCTAGTATTCCCCACAGTTCAATCCCGTAAGTCCAGATGGGCCTGATGATTGATTTGTACACTAATATTTAGTTAGATGTCGGTCAGATAGCTCAGCGGGCTGTGCGGCTGCCTCTCATTCGCTTCACTGTCGAATGGTTTAGTGGATGTGGGTCGAACCCCAGCTCGGTGTACAGAAAACAAAAAGTCTAACGCAGCAGTTTAAAATTCTAGATGAATCTGCGGCTTAGACTAGGATATGCTGTGTTCTGATCGGCCTATGGTGGAGCAGTACGGCAAGAGATAAGGGCTTGCGGCTCGGTGATACTCCTCCATAGATCCCTACTGGACGGGCGTAACGCCTAAAAAACCGGATATATATATATATATATATATATATATATATATATATATATATATATATATATATATATATATATATATATATATATATATAGTTAGATAATGATAAGGTGGATTTACGGCTAAATAACCAGAAGTAATTTGTAAATTTTATTTCGAATTGCTTCCTTTTTATCTAGATGTATGCCCTCAATGTTAGCCTCTTCTCAGGGGGTAATCCAAAGTATTTTACAGTACCATTGTTGGAAATCTTTTTGTTATGCATCAGGATATTTGGTGTTTCATTGTGACATTTAGTAAATATCACGTTAACTGATTTTGCTTCGTTGATTCTTTTCTATTACTTAGCCCATATTTCAATTAAATGTATGCTTTGTTTTAATATTAAAAGCAGATCTGCCAGACCTAAGCATTAAGACAAAAAAAAACTAATTTAATTTGCCTATATAGTAGAAAATTTAAGTACAGAATAGTTTTTACGTCTTTTTTTTGTAAATTTATTATGTTTTATAACTATGCACCATTATAAAAATTATGTATTAAAACTTATTTTTTTAGGCATTATTCACAATGAGACTCTTGTCAAAAGCATTAATGAAAAATTTGAAGAAGCGGCACCCATAGCTTTTATTTACGAAAGGGGGTCTGATTTTTCAAAAACAGTTAGTAAAACCATAAAAACTTTCTATTTTCAAGATAAGGATGTCGATTCGTCAAAAATAGCTGCATTAGCACAGGTAGGTAAATGTAGTCAGTAATTATAACAATAATGCTGGCTTTAATCCTTATAAATAAAACGCATATTGAATTTTTGGTGTTTCTCTTTGTTTTATAATAATATGATATCAGTTGTTTAACTGTTACATCAATGTCATCTTTTGTTATCCTCTAACATAAAGATATATTATAATAAAAACAACAAGGTAATATTCCTTGTATTAACGTACGCTAATGATCAAGTGTTAGTACTGTAATGCGGAAGTTACCACAAATCATAAACAAAAAAGAATCACAGAACGCCGGAAGATTCCCATTTTATGTAATTTTATATTAATTTTCCAATTTCACTTTTGACAATATTGACTGGTTATAAAATCTATCAAAAAATGTAATTGTTAATTTTCAAATATTATTGAATCTTCTGTTTGATTTGTCCTGATGACTTGAGAGACACCAAAAATAACAAACAACCAAAATACATTGTACCACTCTTTACCATATATTCCAGGTTTACCAAATAGACTACTAAATACATTTAGAGAAGTACCTAATATCAATATTGGAACCAGAAATATAAAAACAATATCAAAATTATATACTAAACTTAAAACACCCTTGAATAATAGAGAAAGCTCCAATGTAGTGTACTCTCTACCCTGTAATAATTGTAATAGAGTATATATTGGAGAAACGTCCAGAAATTTGTCCGGAAGATTAACATATCATAAGAGTGATATGCATCATAAAAAGTACAAAATCATTTAGATCAATTACAAAACTGGCTTAAGCGATGGAAGATCAGTGTTATTGCTAGCAAATCAGTACAAATTACTGTGACAACAAGACAATCTACATATTAACAAGTTTATATGAATAATACCCCCATTTCTATAAAAAAGTTGTTTCTGTTTAGTTTTAAAGTGCGTTGTCCATGTAAGTTTTCATCTAGGTGCAATCCCAAGTATTTGACAACTTTTTTTATAGGAATGGGGGTATTATTCATTTAAACTTGTTAACATGTAGATTGTTTTGTTGTAAAAGTAATTTGTACTGATTTGCTAGTTATAACACTGATCTTCCATCGCTTAAGCCAGTTTTGTAATTGATCTAAATAATTTTGTACTTTTTATGATGCTACATACAATAGGGTCGATATCCACTGCCAAGATTGCTGTGTTATCGGCAAATGTAGCTAAGAAGGTATCATTGCTGGTTGGAATGTCTGCGGTAGATATCACATACAAAAATGGGTCCAAAACGCTACCATGACTTACGCCAGTTTGTAGTTTGTAATTTGAGTAGCAGTCTTCAATTTTGACTTAGAAATAACGGTCAGGAAGATATGATTTTAGTATAAAGCATAGTTGGTCTGTTAGGTGTAATTTCAGTTTATAGAGGAGACCTTTAGGTCATTATCTATCAAATGCCTGTTGTATATCTAGAAACACTTCAGCGCAAAACTTTTTCTCTTGGAGAGTTGTTTTAATTATATTTCTATTTTGTGGCATTGTTGGATAGTTGAGTGTTCACGTCTAAATCCGAATTGGTGTTGTGGTATAACTTCGTTTATGGGAACAACTTGCTCGATTTTATGTTCTAATACTTTCGACATTATTGGGAGTAGGCTTATAGGGCGATATGAATTTGGTTGCGTTGGTTGCAGGCTTACCAGGTTTCGGAATTATAGTAACTTAAGCAAATTTTCATTGTATTGGAAAGTAATCGAAGGCGTAGTATGCTGTTGTATATTAATGTTAATAACCCCACTTCTTTTCTCGGTAGCTTCTGAAATCATTCTTCTAAATTATAGCCAGGAGCTTTCTTAGGATTTAGCATTTTTATTTGTTGTCGAACCTCTGCTGTCGGAGTAAATGTTGTGAGAGGAAGAGATAGTTGACATAAAATTTCGAAGTACATTCTTATAGTATTATCTTTATTAGTATCTGGTGCTGCTAATACATTTGTAAGATGCTCTGCGAATACTGTTGTTTTTTCGGCATTTGTGCGGGCCCAAGTCATATCTGTTTTTCTTAAAAGTGAAAGTTTCTTAAAAGTGTGAGTTTGAGTAGTGGTGTTCTCCATATTATGTGTGTACTTAAAATTATTATTATTGTACTGAGATCTGATGTTAAATCGAAGTTTGACTCTATTGCACTATGGATATCAAATATAGCTTTTGTTACAGCAAAATCCACCAAATCTGGAATTTTGTTGGCATCCGTAGGCCAGTATGTGGGTTTTTCCGTAGATAACTATCTTTTTATTTTGTTGAATGATATTCATTAATGCTCGACCTTTAGGCATGATTAATCTGGAACCCCATGTAGATTGTTTTTACATTTCAATCTCCCGCTACTATGAATTTGGATCCAAGAGTTTGTATGAAATCATGATACTCTTTGCTTGAAATTGGATGTCTAGGTTGTAGCGTTTTAAATTTGTTTCTATCTATAATATTTAATATCTATATAATAATATAAATTCTGTTTTAAATTTTGTAGTTCTCCCCTGAGTTATATATAAATATTTTTGTCTTTATTTACATTTAAATTACCCAATTCTCTGTATACATTGTGAGGTAGAAAATTTCCAAATTTCGGTTAAAACTAGGACGTTAAAATAATCAATATAATACGTGTTATTTCTACATATTTAAAAGAAGTATGTTTAAAGGTTATTTGGCGAGAGGTATTATGTTTGTTTCAGTTCGTATGTACGAACTGGTTCCAAGATGTGAGGGAAAGAATTTGCGTTGGGTTTGAGATCGACGCAAAAGTCAAGTTAGGTTTGAAGAATGGCTTGAAGAGAAGGAGATTGTTAATTGTTCGGGACTGACCTGGCATTAATTCGTCAGAAATAGTGGACTTTTCACTCATGTAATGTGTCATATTTGAAAGAGTGACCACTGTTTTGATTTTCTGAAGATTTTAGAATGTTTGAAAAGTGAACAAGTTTGGTTCCTGTTTTTTCCTGTCCAAGAAATCCCGTTTTTGGTTTGTGAAAATGCTTCTTCACCTCATTTAGCATGCTATGAAAGCGGTTTTGCATTTGAACGTGACAGTGTGCTAGTATCAGCCTCCAATGGATAAATCTTTTCGTTGATGATGTCCAGATAGGTATCCAATAGATGTTTAGCAAGTTTTTTCAAAGTTAAGTGTAAAAATTTGTGAATTAAGGTAACAATTAATATATTAATTTTCAAAGTAAAATAGACATTTTTTTTAAGTATTGCTTTCATTTGATAATTTAAGAATTTGTAATAATTAAAATTATATATTATGTTGGAGACGTGGCTAAATGTCATAATGCAGAATGATGATGCAGAAAGGGAGGTGTTTGTTTCGATTTTAATGATTGCTGCTTGAATTGTTTCCCAAATATAAGGTTGGACTGCATAGTGTTTAATTTTTGAATAAATAATAACGGCAGAACCTGAATGTGTTTCTTCGTCTGGATGGCTTGCATAATACACAGTATAGTAAGGTATCTTAATAACCGTTCTTTGTGTGGCATGGCTTTCAGATATTCATAGAATGTCTATATTATACATTTTTAAAAACGGTGATATCTATAGTATATGGCTTTAAAAGCCACTAACATTCTACGACGCAATTCGTAGTAACTTAAAAGCTATTTTGTTATTTTGTTAGTGGCTATAGTTAAAATGGTTAAAATCATTATATTTTGGTTTAAGAGTTGAGAGAACATATTTTGTGTTTGATGTAGAATAAGAAAAGTTGGTTTGTTGGGCAACTACTGGCTGTACCTGATATTGTTGTTGATAATTATTAAAAGGTATCATTTGGTTGACTGTTGGTTGATTTGAGTACACTGGTGGATCTTGAGTATTTATTTGACTTACTTGGTAATTTGGATGTATTAGATTGGTAGGCTCGTTCTGCATTACAGTTGGTAACTGCACTGTAGGGTACTGAAAATCACTTGATCCTGGTCCGTTTTTTGTTGGAAACATTTTCAGTTCACTTCGAGCTTACTTTTATTTCACATTGACTGGATAAATTACAATTTATTTATTTACCAATAATCAATTTAAATATACCAAATATCGAGAAGATTAATAATTAGTTAGCAGTGTACCTGTACTTAGTTAGATTTGTAACCTATGTTTAGAAAAAATTAATTAAAAAAATAAAAAAGAGAATTTAAAAAAAATTTGTTAAAAAAATATAGTTGTATTTAATAACATAGCAAGAAAATATTTTTATTTGTAAGATGTATACACTATGTATTTCATATGACGTCTTTCAATAACTAAATTATAATATAGGTATAATACAGCATTTATTAACATACTAAATACGGAATAATTACACTATTATTATTATATTAGTCATGTTTCACTAATTGACATATACAGGATGGTCCTTAAGTAATTGTACAAAAAGAAATCGTAGATTCTACACTATAAAATATTACGATTTAAGCCAAATTGCTTTAATAAAATGTTGATATTAATAAAGATACAGGGTATTAAGTAGAAATTTAAAATTTTATTTTTTGCTATAACTTTCATGTTTGTGAACATTTATGTATAAAAATTAACTGGATACTTTTGAACATCAGGAATTATAATTTGATGCGTACTTTAATGTAGAAGGCGCCAGCTATGGCACATATGTGACACACATTTGCACTTAACTTTTTTGCTCTGTAAGTTACCGGTGTTTGTGATAAAAAATATTAAAGATACATTATTTTAACAAAAAAAAAGGTATACTTGTTAATAACCTCAGAACTCATTCGTGTTTTCGGGATAATCGCATTTTACGAATCAACTACATAATTCAGATTTAACGCAATTACTCCAGGCAACAAAAGAAAATTAGAAAAAAAAAATCAATATTTCTGAATTGTGGTGTAAAATGCCTTTAATAAAGTTAATAGTTAAGAAAATATGAAATAAAATAAATATATCAGCAGGATAATTTGTAATAGGATTTGACAAAATAACAGAATTATTGGATTTTACATCAAACATTTTACGTTTTGTATTAAA